AATTGTTCTCACTGTCAGGAAGTTTCTCCTTAGTTCTAGGTTGCTTCTCTCCTTGATTAGTTTCCACCCACTGCTTCTTGTCCTGCCTTCAGGTGCTTTGGAAAATAGCTTGATTCCCTCTTCTTTATGGCAGCCCCTGAGATATTGGAATACTGCTATCATGTCCCCCGTTGTCCTTCTCTTCGTTAAACTAGACATACCCAATTCCAGTAACCGTTCCTTATATGTTTTAGCCTCCAGTCCCCTAATCATCTTTGTTGCTCTTCTCTGTACTCTTTCTAGAGTCTCAACATCTTTTTTACATCGTGGTGACCAAAACTGGATGCAGTATTCCAAGTATTGTGGTCTTCATATATGTCCTTCACTTACAACCACAATTGGGAACAGAATTTCTGTTGCTAAGCAAGGTGGTTGTTAAGTGAGTCGCATCCAATTTTATGACTTTCTTGCCATGGTTGAGTGAAGCCAGCTGGAAAGGTCATAAATGGTGACCTTGTTAGTTGTCAAAATGCATGAATTTTAATTGTGACTGTGGTGATGCTGCTAGTGGTTATAAGTGTGAGGAACAGTTGTAAGTCACCTTTTTCAGTACTATTGTAACTTCAAATAGTTGCTAAACGAAAGGTTGTAAGTCAATATCTGCATAACACTAAACCATAATGAGGCTTGTTTGCTTTTGCTTAGCATATGTGAACTATGTCATTTCTATTAGAAATCATGATTTATGACGTATTTTAATACATAGGAAGCCAACCTTGGTTAAAACAAGGCAATGTGTGTCACTAGATGTGGACTAAGTTAGTTGAATGCGAGTCCTGTTGAAATAACTGGGATTTAAGTTAAAATGAATTTTATCACATTGATATGATCTTCAAAGGCAAAAGCAAACAATTCAGTGGCTTAATAAGATGTATGAAGCTGGCCAGTAAGAATAGCATGCAAGGGAACATGTGGCATTCCAGATGTTACTGAAATAAAACTCTGCAGACTCCCTGCTATTTGTTATTCATTTCTGCAAAATTCCAGGAAAGCAGGCAGGTTATGATTTTCTCACTCCTGATTCCTTGTTTTTGGATTCCTTGTTTACATGACATATATTTTCCTTAGAGGTAAACTTATGCCCAGGAATAAATATAGAATTTCATCAAACTCGATAAAAAACAAAGTTTTTCAAGGCTTTTTTGTAGTAAGCATAAGAAACTTGCTCAGCAAAATATACCTTGACCCTCCATAGCAGGAAACTTCACACCAGTTTTCCATGCTCCTAATTTTAGGAAATTTTGCTTCCTTTTGCATGTGAACTTCAGGACCAACTAATATCAGAAGGAAATGCTATTTTCCAAGCTGTAATGTCTGCAAAGTACAGATAGTCCACAACTTACTACCACAATTGAGCCCCAAATTTCTGTTGCTAAGCGAGACAGTTGTTAAGTTTTGCCCCATTTTACACCTTTTCCACAGTTGTTAAGTGAATCACTGCAGTTGTTAATAACACAGTTACTAAGTGAATCTAGCTTTCCCATTGACTTTGCTTGTCGGGTCACAAAAAGTGATCCCATGACCCCATCATAAATATGAGCCAGTTGCCAAGGGTCTGAATTTTGATCATGTGACCATAGGGATGCTGCATTAGTGTGAAAAATGGTCATAAATCACTTTTTTCAGTGGCGTAACTTTGGTCACTAAACGAACTGTTGTAAGTTGAGGACTGTGTGTAAAACCCCGTGGCATAATATATGTGTATATGTGCCCTCACATAATCCTTTAACGGTGTTATAATGATCTAGAGTGAAACAAGGTTGAGATATTGGCTTGCTTCCTAAAAGTATGCAGGTAGTCTTTGACTTACAACCATTCATTTACTGACTGAAGTTATAACAGCACTGAAAAAAGTGACTTATGACTGTTTTCACAACTGTTGCAGCATCCCCATGGCCACGTGATCAAGACAGCAGTAGCTCTTTTAAAACAACTCCCAGCAGTCTGTCAATCCTGCTAAATGTTGTATGACTATTAGATTGATGCACATTATCCACCCATGCATCAGTATATTAGATTATACTGCCACCTATAGATCCTTGAGTTGCCTACCGACCAAATTGCTCTACGGAGGATGCTATTTCCTCCGTTCTCCATCTGAGCCTGAAGCACTTAGAGGAAAGAAATACTCATGTGCGTTTGCTGTTTGTCGACTTCAGTTCGGCGTTTAACACAATCATTCCCCAGCATCTAGTAGACAAATTGGGCCTTTTAGGCTTAAACACTCCTCTGTGCAGCTGCATTCTTGGTTTTCTTACCAACAGGCCCCAATATGTGCGAGTTGGAACAAATACCTCTAATACCATTGTCTTGAGCACAGGTTCTCCTCAGGGCTGCGTCCTAAGTTTGCTGCTGTTCACCCTGTTGACCCATGACTGTTGTGCTAGGTTTTCCACCAACCATATTGTGAAGTTTGCAGATGATACAACAGTAGTGGGCCTTATTCAGGATGACAAATTGGAAGCTTACCACAAGGTTAAAAGGTTGGTGAACTGGTGTGAGGAAAACAGCCTAGTTTTAAATACCAGAAAAACCAAGGAGATCATTGTTGATTTCAGAAAAGGCAGGCACAGCCACACTTCTCTGTGCATAAATGATTCACCTGTGGAGATGGTTACCAGCATCAAATTCCTGGGTGCGCAGCTAATGAGTAGGCTGACTTGGTAGCTCAACAATGAAAAACTGGTGAAGCGGGCACAGCAGCGCCTGCATTTTCTGCGCCGCATGAGAAAAGCACATCTTCCTTCCCCCGTCCTGACCATTTTCTACAGGGGGACGATCAAGAGCACCCTGTCATACAGCATCACAGTCTGGTTTGGAGGCATCACTGCTTCAGACAGGAAGGCGGTGCAGAGTGGTGAGAATGGCTGAAAAGATCATTGGCAGTTCCCTCCCTCCCATCCAGGACATAGCACAGAAGCACTCCTTGAGCAGGGTCCATAAGATTATCTGGGACACTACACATCCTCTTTACGACCTGTTTTCCTTGTTACCTTCTGGGAGGAGGCTTCATAGTATCCATAGCAGAACATCCAGATTCAGCCATAGTTTCATTCCATGCAACATTAACCTTGCGAACTCTCAAGCTTCCTCCTTCCGTTATATATTCAAGATGGACATATTTAATATTTATTTGCTATGTATATTGTAGGGATGTGGGTCTATACATATGTTGTTCATAGTATGTTTAGGTGTGTGTCATATATGTGTTTCACTTGAAAGCGGGCAACTAAATTTCATTTTTGATGTGTGCCATTGTGCCCACAGTATAAAAATGACAATAAAAGTTATCTTATCTTAATATTCCAGATGTGGTTTGGATGACAAGTCCCAGAGTTTCCAACCAGATAACAGTTGTAGGCTTAATATTTCTGAAGGGTACCAATAGGAAATATATTTTAGTACAGATAGTCCTCAACTTATGACTTAGTGACTGTTCAGTTATAACGGACTCCAAAAAAGATACTTACAACACAGATGCAAAGTAACAATAGTTTCCCCCTCCCACCACGATATGATAATATTTTGGCTCCTCAGAAATTAGCCCACATATATGTTTATTTGCAGCATCCTTGCGATCATATGACTGCAGTTTATGTTTTTTAATGGAAACAGGCCTATCCATCTGGTTTCCAGCAAAAAATGCCCATTGTGGACAATGGGTTCTGCAGATTTGCTTAATGACCACGATGATTCACTTAACAATCACTTCAAAAAAAGTCATAGAATTGGGTTGGTCATGATTGCTCAATGACTGGTACAATGTACAACCGTAATTCTGGGCTCAATTACAGTTGTAAGTTGAGGACTACCTGCACATATATACTCAAGACAAAATAATTTTATTCTAATAACCATCCGGTAAAATTTAGAAAGAGAAGTCTAAACAAGACATTTCATCTTGGATGTCTCAGCTTTTGTTCCAGGGCAGCATGGAACCTGAGTTCTTAGCCTGAGTTATATGTTGTATAAACAATAAAGTGCAAAAACTACCCACTGCTTTGTAAAGTATGGTTACATAAAAAATAATTTATCATTAGACATGAATGCAGTCAGTGAGTCAAGCATTTTCTAGGCAACTACACAACAGCAGCAACTGTCTTTATAAAAGGGGGTTCAACACAGAATGGAAATCAGATTGAAAGCCATTAATAGGATTGCATATTTGATAATGTTCCTATCAAGCAGAGATCCCACATTTAATTAACTGGTTTTGAAAAACTAAGGAACAATGTAGATATTAGATTTTACGCACTTCTGTTTGTTATGATTGTGAGGCCCAAGAGGGCAGTATGGCTGCATCTGGTTGTTGTCATCCATTTAGCACCACCCAGGGAGTACATGTAATAGTAATGTACATAAAGCATTGATATTTATCAAAAGTGGTCATAAAAACCAGAGTATAAGAGGATGTGCCTCAGCCAAGTGTTGCCCTCTAAAGCACATTTTATCTCATCCCAAAACAATAATACAAATATTGTTTTGCTTCAGAACTACTAGCTTAGCTACTGTACATACAAATGCAATGAGGTAAGTAATCTCACTTAACTCACTGAGAAAATCCAGAAAGGAGTTGCTGTGTTGTTGAAGTACATCTGTTTCAGGCTCCTAATAAGAGACTTTGGTGAGGATATTTTTTTTCTTCATTACAACTTCCAACTCTGTTATTCTAATTCTAATGGTCTCAATATGGATTGCATAATTTTGGTGTGAAATTACAATAATACACTATAGAACATTCTCTGCTGCATAGTAAACTTATAGTGTCCTTCACATAAACAACTATTTAACAATTAATCTTCATAATAGAGTATTCTAATTTTATTACTTATGATGGACTTTGGTCTGTCAGTGTATTTAGACAGTGAATTGTTTTGAGCTGAAAGTCACTGGAAAATGTAGCATTAGAAGTTCAATGGATTACAATGCATCAAGATTCAAGATCCATATTAAAGCAGCCATTTCTATTTGTAAGTTTTTATTTCACAGATTATTGAATGTGAAAAAAACAAAACTGAGGAAGCAATCCAATAAACACTTACTAGAAGGAAGTCCACTAAACTGAGTAAGACTTACTTCTGGATAAAGATGCATAGGATTTCCTCTGGCCTCAAAGCTATCGATGCCTGTATAATTAAAATACCTTTGGTTCTGCTATATTAAAAAAAGAGCCTCTTCTGTATCATGTACATACTTTTGGACAATAACTAACTAAACCTACTCTTGTAATCCTACTCTGATTACAAGTCTTCTGCCCCATTGTAAGCTAACTTTTTCCCAATAAAAATCCTAAAAGTCTACATTAATGACATTTTTGTTTCCATAGTACCTCCTAATCTTTTGCTTTGCTTTGTGTCCTTTTATTTTGTTCTTTCCTATTTTACAGTAATTGATTCTTTTACTTGATTTTTTTCAGGGAAAAAAACACTTTAAAATATGCATACACTCTCTTTCTTCAGCCTTAAGAATTGTTTTAACTACATCTCAGAACTAACTTCAGAGAAGTCCTAATACAATCAAGAATTGGAAAACATGTTCAGTAAGGAATGCATTTAAGTAAAAGCCCAGACTCCCAGTACATTTTTTTAAGGTTAGGTATTATATATAACATACCAAATGGGGCACTGGCCCTATTATTTCCCAAATTAGCCATGTTCAACTTTCACAATTCCTCAGCTAGGATATCCTTTGATGAGAATTCTGGGAACTTAAGTCCACTCATCCAGAAGTTGCCAATACTGGAAAATGCTATACTGTACAAGATCGACAGGATCTATTTTGGATCACACCACTTTGGACTGCAAATGCAGGGTGACATTTTTGATTCAGGTATCACAGTTTATTAAAAATGTATTATTCAAAGATGTTACTGTGCATAAGGAACACCAAAAATATGACACTCCTTTTTGCAACCCTCAGATCAAAATACTGTTATCTCATTCTAACTCCTTATTGCTTTGAAGCAACATTAGACCCCCAAAACACACTGAATCAGGCCAGGGTCACCTCATTCTGCCCTACAAGAAAACATTCTGCATGTAAGTTATAAATAGGATCTTTTCAGAAGCCTGTTAGGGAAGGAGGGGCTCTGAGACAGCTAGCATCTTCTTTACTTGTGGGCGATCTAGTCCATATCTCTCCTCTTTCTCCACTGGAGCATTTTAAGGAGGCTGAGACTGGCTTTGAAGAGCCGATCGTGTTGGAAGATCATCTGGTGGAAAGTATTGAGAGGCAGGTTCCCACTGGGGTCCGCATGTTTGAGAGTGGTGATGGGTGTGTAGAAGCTGTTGGTTTGATATCGCAATGGAGGGTTCTCAGAAGTGATCACTTTCAGCACATGCTGTCAGAAAAAAGAGCAACACATGGGATCAGAAATGTAATGGACTGACCCCGGTCTGCGGCATGCTAGAAAACGAGCCTCACATACAAGCAAAGGCCGATCTGTGGGATGCAGGCAGTACGTGAAACTATTACTTTCATCTACACAACTGATTCTTTGTTACTGGACAATACCAAGGCGTAACACTTAGATTCACCAGTCAGCTACCGGTACCTGCCTACTCATTCTCCTTGCCAATATCATTTTGGGCTGAGGCTAGTTTCCCCAAAGCCAAGTCACAGACAAAGACTCTGTCCAAATGTAAGCCATTTTTCACAAAATGCTATTGCATTTCATCTCACAACTCTGTGAGATAAGTTGGGCTAAGAGAGAGTGACTGATCCAAGAAAATGGATTTAATATAGCTGTCCAAACAGTAACTGAGATATAGCAGTTCAGGATCAGAGAAAGCCCCAAAGGCCACCCAGTTGGCTTTCATGGCTAAGGCAAGACTAGAATGGATAGTCTCCTGCTTTCTAGCCTGATACCTTATCCACTAGACCAAACTGGCTCTGTTCTTTGCTAAGAAACCTGATACATACTGAGATATTTAGTTATTTTACTTACCGTATTAAATTTATAAACCACCCATCTCCCCAATAAGGCAACTCTATTTGCCTAATTCACTCCATTTCCACGCTAGAATAGTACAGTAGAATATATTAGGAAGCAAAAATGGTTGGTTAAATAGACCTGCTCAGAGTTGCCCAATATGATTCAAAGTCCAGCCTGCCCATGAAAAAAGAAAAAAATCCAAATAATAAATTTGAGGAAATAGAATAATCAATTGTTCATAGGGACAAGGACAGGGTAAAATACATTTGCCGAAGACCAAATATGTAAAATCAGTATGTCATTGAAAGAGTCATGGTTTATGAGATAAGCAAGTATAAAAATATGATAAATACTGATTTCAGAGTATGCAGACTGTAAATTAGCTGATCGACATTATGAATGGCAATCTCTCCCACTACGAGATTAAAAAAAGAACTAGAAGCTTGTATATTGAACTGAAATCTGAACTTAAATAATAGTATCTAACCTCTTTGTCTTCTGTTGGCCTCCAATGACTTTTACCTTGTTAGGTGTCCAAAATATTTAAGCTTTAGCTTCCAGTGAGCTGTCTGGTTTTATTTGATCCAGTATTGAATGATTTGTTCTTGTAATCAAAGCTACTCTCAGTAGTTTCTTCCAATACCGTAACTTCAAGGTATAATTTGTATGATATAGAAATTTAATGAATAAATAAACAATTTCAATATATGGTATCAAGCTTAAAAGCAATTATAACCGAGGGGGAACACTTTCTTGAAGTGGAATGGGACAATGTGCCACAGCCAGCTTGCTGTGGGACAATTTAACAATTCAATTTAATTATTCAAAATAAATAAAAATTATTTTAATTTTTGTCATTCACATTCCATTCTGTCCCTCCTTTTGCATCCTTTCTTTAATGATTCTATTCCACCATTTCTTTGATATTAGTGTAACTCTTATCTCACAGCAAATTATCCCAGGGTGAGTTGTCCCATAGCGAGTTGGCTGCAGCCAATTGGCTGTGGCCATGGTGAATTGGCCGTGGCGAATAAACATGTCTGGAGACCTGCCTAATGTAATAAACACTTGGTGTGGTTGGAAACTACATTTTTTAGCTCATGAAATGGAGGCAAGGACAGCCTGAAAATGGATTTGATGCTGAATACTGTTAAGAATCATAATATTGCTGGAAGGGACCTTGGAGGTCTTCTACTTCAGCCGCTGCTCAGACAAGTGGCTGTGAGGTCTCTGTTAAAAACTTCCAGTGATGGAGCATTCCCGATGTCTGAAGGCAAGCCATTCCACTGATTAATTGTCCTCACTGTTAGGAAGTTTCTCCTTAATTCCAGGTTGCTTTTCTCCTTGATTAATTTCCATCCATTGTTTCTTGTCCTGCACTCTGGTGCTCTGGAAAATAAATTGACCCCCTCCTCCTTGTGGCAGCCTCTCAAATATTGGAATACTGCTATCATGTCCTCCCTAGTCCTTCTTTTCTCTAGACTGGCCATACCCAATTCCTGCAACCGTTCTTCGTATGTTTTAGTCTCTAGGCCTTTAGTCATCTTAGTTGCTCTTCTTTGCACTTTTTGCAAAGTCTCAACATCTTTTTTGTAATGTGGTGACCAAAACTGGATGCAGTATTCCAGGTGTGGTCTTACTAAGGCTTTACAAAGTAGTACTAATACTTTACATGACTTTGATTCTATGCTTCTGTTTATACAACCAAGAATTATATTAGCTTTTTTGGCTGCTGCCACACACTGCTAACTCATGTTTAAGTGATTGTCCACTAGGACTTCAAGGTCCCTCTCACAGTTACTGTTTTTGAGCCAGGTTTTGCCTAATCTGTACTTGTACCTTTGGTTTTCCTGCCCAGGTGTAAAACCTTGCTTTTCTCCACATTAAATTTCATTTTGATAGGGTCCATTGTTCAAGTCTGTCAAAATCTTTTTTGGATCCTGAGCTTGTCTTCTGGGGTGTTGGCTAATCCTGCCAGCTTAGTGTCATCTGCAAATTTGATGAATTTCCCTTTTATTCCCTTACCTAAGTCATTTATGAAGATACTGAAGAGTACTGGGCCTAAGACAGACTCTTGTGGTACCCCACTGCTTACTTCCCTCCATATAGATATACCGGCAGTACCATTAAGGACTACTTGTTCAGTATGGTTTGTCAGCTAGATACACTATCTGGTGGTCATGCTGTTTATCCCATTTTTTTCTAGTTTATCAAGAACTAGCGTGTGGTCTAATTTATCGATTGCCTTGCTGAAGTCCAAATATACTTTGGCCACAGCATTTCGCTGGTCTACTAATTTAGTCACTTTGTCAAAGAATTAAATAAGATTGGTTTGGCATGATCTGTTTTTAACAAACCCATGCTGGCTATTAGTTATAACTTTGCTCATAGATCTGTTTTTTGATTATTTTTTCCAGTATCTTTCCAGGTATTTATGTTAGGCTGATTGGTTTGTAGTTTTCTGGGTCTTTTTTTTTTCTTCCTTTTTTGAAGATGGGAACCACATCAGCTCTTTTCCAATTCTCTAGTAGTTCCCCAATGCTTCAGGATTTTTTAAAGATATGATACAATGGTTTTGAGATAACATCTACCAGCTCCTTCAGAACTCTGGGATGTAATCCATCAGGTCCCGGTGATTTATATTCATCAAAGTCAGACAGGTGTTCTCTTATCATTTTCTTGCTATTTTAATTTTTATTTCTAATCTTTCTTTTACAGTTATGTTTTTGGTAGGTTGGGCTATAGTTTGTGTGAAATTGTGTGAAGAGGAAATTAAAGAGAAATATATTATCAGTCTGTCCAATTATATCCTCCTTATAATTTTTTTTAAAATACCACAAAGCAGTTTGGCATCTAAAGAAAGAGATTCTTGAAAGATATGGGATTTCTTATACTGTAAGTACTTCCTTACTTTTCTGGAACCCTTTTTTCTGGGGCTTTCTGAAACTATCTCAGATCCAGAAACTGCAATATCTCAGTTACTGTTTGGATAGCTATATTAAATCCATTTTCTATGATCAGTTGTATGGAATCTACAATATAGTGGATAATAACAAGTATTTGATGGGTCTTGTTCTTTGGAATCTGTGATGATCAAGGATGATTCTAAGCTAGTTCAGCCATGTAAATCAATGAGGGATTACATTCCAATGTAGCATAATACTGAAGGGCTTCATTATTAGAAGCAATCATCATCACAAAAAATACAACCAGTAGAATACATTATGACTGGAAAACATCTCTAGTAGACCCTGACTATAAGAAGGGTAAAGCTGATGATAATTCCAACTATAAGCCTTTTAGCATACTATAGGAAAGTTGAATGCCCAATTTGTTAGTGCCAAATTCAAATCTTCAATCATAGAATGCCCTTCTCCTGTGCTTGATGGAGCTACCAATTCTTAACTGCTCTTCTGAAGTCCAGGTTGGATTTTGTGAGGAGAAAATTCTAGAGTATGGGAACAGTAATTTAAAAATGCCCATTTCCAATGCTCTGTCAGATGGCATTCTCATCTAGATGATACCTGAAAGGAGTAGGCCCTATTTAACCTGATCAGAAGGCAGATGAACACAGGAGAAGCTGTCTTCAGATAATGCAGTCTGGGGCTATGTACAGCTTTAAAGTTGATAGCTGGCTTTCAATTGCACCCAGAAGCCAACCAACAATCAGTGGTGCTCCAGAAGTAGCAGAGTTCTCTCAAGCTATAAACTAACCCAATGGTTATACACCTACTAGATATGTTGTGCGAATATAGTCAAGCAAGCTAATCCTTTACTGACAGAGTTGGGAGATGGGGATTGCCCCTTAATTTAAAACAAGTTAAACTTCTGACTTTATGGTTCCTCCAAATGTGCCAATATATTATTTATTTTTCTTTTCTTTCTTACTTTTCTTTTGGGGAGGGGAGCCCTAGTTTGATTAATCTTCTGGAGTCAGTCAACACTGCAAGTCACCAGAAGAAATTAAGGCTCCTGGCCAAAGCAGAGGTCCCAGTAAGCATCAGAGACTAGGCATTTATTCTAAAACAAGTAGGGAGAAGCATCATCTTACCTCAGCCACCTCTTCTGGAGATTGCCCCAGTGCAGTGAAGACCTCCTTGGAGTAGGCTAGGTAGAAATTGTGAAATATATCCAGTGTCTCTTTATCCACACCGGAGAGATCCATGCTTGCTACCTCGTCATAAAGCTTCCTCTCAAACTCTGATATCACTGGTCCTGGCTCAATCAAACTGATTCTGTGGGAGGAAAGAAACAGTGAATAATCAGGATCCATTCCACCCTTCCACTGATGAGCAACCTAACAATGTTTGACAAAGAAGCAGGTTTCCTCTTGTCTTCTAACATTGGCAAGAACCAGCAGTATGCCAGAAGTGCTGTGTCATCCCAGCAGATACCTTAAGATGCTTCCTATTGGTTCCACATAGTTATATGACTTAGAATACAAGGCCTGGGCTTTACTAAGCAAGAGCTCTTAGCCCACTTCAGTTCAAAAAACTATACTATGAAGAAAAAATTGAAACCATTTTACAAATCTCTCTTTTGATTTAGAAGAATTTAGTTTTAATGCGTTTCTCATGCTTTCTTTCAGCCCCCTAGTCTTGCAGAGAAGGTCTGTCTGGGTCTGATGTTTATAGCAAATAAAATCTTAAATTAAAGAGGCAGTCAGTCAGTTTTTTATTATTTGTGACTAGCATAATAAATTATAATCAAAACTATGAAATGGTAAAATATCAATATAACATTCAAACAGCGTTCATCACACATTCTCTACCACTGAAGTCAACAAATGCAGCAAATAGCACCCCTTGAGGTCCATATTTCAGACAGAAGTTGTAGATTTAGGCACCAATTGAGCATGTTTAAAGATCACTTGTTGTTCAGCTAATGTACTTCCCGTCTGTCTACTACTCCCAAAGGATTCCAGCCCAAGTGTTTGGAAAAAAGTTTACTATCACCAACAAACAGAGAGGGTAATCATTAGAGCAGGAATTCTCTCCTTTGTTGTTTAAGGGTTCAACAGAGGCATTAGACAGGATGAGAAATAATGGCATTGAAAATTTAAAGAAGAGATTTACTGAGGGCTTTTTCATGATAATTTAGATTTTATTTTTATAAAAGCCTCAAAATGGTATTAATATTTAATGAAGAAATTGAAGTGCATTAGCTGGCTTTTAAGTAAATAAACAATAAAAATGATAATTAAGAATATGAACATACATAGAATCGTATCAGCGAATTATAGGGCTGGAAGCGATATTGGAAGTTTTCTAGTTCAACCCCTATCCAAGGCAAGAGTCCTTGTACCATCCGGGATAAATGATTGTCCAATCTTATCTTGAAAACCTTCAAGATCGAGAGACTTGGATGAAAAAACTGGTTTTAAAATTGAAAAGATTATATATCTAGAGGTTATATTTAATAATATGAACTGTATGTATAATTATGTTAAGGCATGGCATGATATCAAAAAGGACTTCTTAAAGTTGGACAAATTAAACTGTCACTATTGGGCAAAATGACAGGAATTAAAATGACTTACTATGGGTACTATTTTATTTATTAAATTTATATGTTTATTTATTTATTTATTTATTTTTGAGACTTATATACTGCTTTAAGTGCAAGCACTCTCTAAGCGGTGTACACCAGTAAGCAATGTATATATATATTTACATTGCCCCCAACAATCTGGGTCCTCATTTTACCTACCTCGGAAGGATGGAAGGCTGAGTCAACCTTGAGCCGGTGAGATTTGAACTGCTGACCTGCTGAACACAGTCAGCTAAAGTGGCCTGCAGTACTACACTCTAACTGCTGCGCCACCTTGGCTCTTTTTAGATGTTGCCCATCTCCCTGTTGAGTGACTCTCTACAGCTAATATTGATATTCTTTTTTTTAAATTTCTTATACTTTACCTTTTTCTTTTCAATTTCATTTTTGATATCTTATCTTTTGTAGAAATTTAAATGTAAAGTGTGTGTGTGTGAGAGAGAGAGGGGGGGGAGAGGGAGAGGGAGGGAGGGAGAGAGACAGACAGACAGACAGACAGACTTGGCAATTTTAAGATGTGTGGACTTCAACTCCCAAAACACTGCATTAGAGATTTGTACCCTTTTAACATATAAAAATGACAATTCCTTGACCTTATTTCTATTCTACCAATCAATGTTATTTTCAATACATTTTGGAGAGATAAAAGATTTCCTTAAGAACCATCTCCAGATATTCTGCCCATACTTTGTGTTTAGGATCCTAACTTCACAGAAGATGAGGAGACATAGATCCAAAGGAATATTTCATTCCAAGGTTTTTTAAAATAATCCATTTTCCATTTATATGATTATACGTTCCTGTCATCTGCAAGGACAAGGGGTAATTTAAACATTTATTAAACAAGAAAGGGAAAAAATAACACTCAGTTTTAAAATGACCACCTGCCCTTTTCTGAACTCTGTTATTGTTTTTGAACCACCATCATAATTTATTTCTAAAAAAATAAATGCCAAACAGCTAAAAAACAAAAACACAATATTTAAAAGCATATATCATTACTACTTTTCCTAAAAGCAATCTAATGATTCAATATTCTCCAGTTAAAAGAAACCCAGGGAGAAGAGTTCTCAGTGCTTGAGAGCTTAAAACAAAAAAAGCTACACAAAAAAAAGTATTTCCACATCTTGACTTAAGGGATACACACGTTTGGGAAAAGTTTTTAGAATTGCTTCTTTACCACAATTCTCAGAGGTTAACATTTGAGAAAGTTGGTGTCTAGATGCAAGGCCACCCCAGTGAAATGAGCTGAGTAAGGATCTGAATAAGTACTTTCTCCATCCTAGCCTAGTGCTGCAATCCAGGTCACTAAAGGTAGGGCAGCTAGAGATGACTAGAGTGTGCTGTTCAGTGATTGGAGCTGAAAGCTGCTTTGACTGGACTATGAAATCTGAGTGGTAAAAATCCAAAGGACCAATAGATGACAACAAAGAGATAAAAAATATGAATATTTTGCTGCCATCAGTGTTTCTATGGATTCTTTCAGCCCAGATTTAATCGCACTAAGCTTTAGTAACTCTGGAAAAATAAGACTCAAGGTTTGCACACAATCTTGAGCTGCATGCTTGCTCGTTTAACTTTTACTGATCCTATCCTGAGTTGTATTAATCTAATAATGCCCAAAGAAATGCAATTCCTTCTCAGAGAAACTTCCGTCGTGATCTGTCTTAATTCCAAACCCACTGTATTTACCTGATCCCAAATTTTAGAGCCTGCAGGGCTAAGCTCTCGCAGAAACCCTCCACAGCAAATTTGGAGGCAGAGTAGATATCGTTGAAGAGGAGACCTGGAGGGAATTAAGTATTGCAAGAAAAAAAAAGATGACTCATAGATATGAGTGGTTTGTTCTCTTTTACTATTGCTAACAAGACTTCCCAAAAGAAAAGTGAAGTTGCTTTGCACTGAGTAGCAAACCTGTCACTTCTTGGACCTACCCTGCTGCTGTGCTTTTAATTTTGTTTTTTTAACCCAATATATAGATATTAAAGCAAATAAAGCTTTTCTAGAGCCAGAAAGGAGGTATGGAAAAACAACATGGGTTTATAGTTTAGTGTGTCAACCTCTTTGTAAGACTGAGTTAGCAGGACTGGTAAAAGAAGGTAGAGTTTCATATACATTTGGGGATGGCGTTGGCCCTTGCCTGCATAAAGAGAACCATTCTGGCTATATTTGATTTGGCATTGAACCATAATGCAGCAAACCACCTGTTAGTCTAATGTGTTGTGTGAACCTAGTATATGCCATAAGTCTATGGTTTAGTGTATCACGAGAACTTGGAATATCTGATTTGAGTTAAATGAACTGAACAGTGTCATGTGAACACAGACATAATCACTCACAGGTTTTGATTAGAAAACTGAAGTCCAGAGAGTTCCTTTTACTTTATAGTGTAATATCTTATTCTCTGGCTGCCTCTGCAGTGTTTACTTAACTAGATCAATTAAAGACTAAGTAGCTACATTTGTACACTTTGTAGAACTTTGTTGGTTTAAACTTTTCTTATTGTTTAATGTGTTGTGCAATCACAGGTCATTAATTTAACTTCTCATTTAGTTTATTTATGTGTACCCAGAAGATCAGTTATGTTAAGTCTGTAAAGGTCCCTAATGGGATGTTGACAAATAAATACACAACAGATCAGCTTGAATGCTTTTTAAAATCCTCTTAAGGTTCATGAATGATTTTGCCCAAGGAGGGAAGTGTTTTGGGTCCCCTTCCCTTTCTTTGCAAGCCCCTTCCCCTGCAAGGTACTTCTAGGTTCCTTTGCATGACTTGCCTCCAGCTCTTTGTTCTGTAGCAAAGAAAGGACGGAGCTTAATGTTAAAAGGATCTTGACAAGACTCTCATTGCCTGCAACCTTGCAGAGCTGCTACCTGTCAGAGAAGACAAGATGGACCAACAGTATGACTTGGTATAGGCCAGCTTCACATGTCCCAGACAAATAGCCTGTATTTAGCAGGTGATGCAGTTGCCATAGAAATCCATTGGTAAGGCAGCTTCCATTCTCCAGAACTCGTCCCACCCTCATCCTCTGGGATAATCAAGGTTGGTTGTCCAGAGATTCTAGAACAACATTCTCCTTTGCCCTCTGAAAGAAGCTTCACCTTGCAAACCTAAGACGCTGCTCATCACAACAATATGCCCTCTCTTTTGTTGCTTCATGTCAGGGAAGATTTCCTGGATAAGGCGCACCAAGCCAAAGAAGTTGGTGTCGAAGAGGCGTTGAATTGAGGCCATGCTCTGGCTTTCCACTGGACCAATCAGACCAAATCCTGCATTGTTCACTGTGTGGGAAGGGAGTGGTTAAGTTAGCAAGAAGGAACAGGAGAAAACAGTATTTCAAATACTTGTGAATTTGCGAAATCAGCAGAGAGGAGGAGAAGATGGTGTTATAATCTAACTCATTACCTTGAAATCCTAGCAATTGTTAGCAAAGATGACACTGACCTACTTTGAGGATCTGTTGGGCTTTCTTTGTATTTTGAGAAACACCTGAACAAGGTTGTTTCCAAATGGCGGCTCACAGAGCTTCCCATATTGCACAGGAGCCCCCGAGGGTTGTGTGCTCTCTCCACTTCTCTTCTCTCTATATACCAATGACTGCATTTCAAAAGATCCATCTGTTAAAGTACTGAAGTTTGCAGATCATACAACAGTGATTGGCCTCATTTGAGACAACAATGAATCTGCATACAGATGGGAGGTTGAACAACTAATCTTGTGGTGTGGCCGGAACAATCTTGAACTGTAGAAACTGTAGAAATAACAGTAGACTTTAGAAGAAACCTTACTATTCTACAACATGGTATCAACAGTAGAGACCTTCAAGTTTCTAGGTTCTATAATATCTCAAGATTTAAAATGGACACCTAACATCAAAAACGTCATCAAAAAAGCACAACAAAGAATGTTCTTCCTACACTAACTCAGAAAGCTCAGACTGCCCAAGTTGCTGCTGATACAGTTCTACAAAGGAATTGTTGAGTCTGTCATTTGTACCTCTATAACTGTCTGGTTTGGCACTGCAAGACAGACAAGATAGACACAGACTTCAACAGATAGTTAGAACTGCAAAAATTCCTACCAGCCTGCCTTCCATTGAGGACCTGTATACTGCACAAGCAAGAAGAGGTCTGTGAAAATATATACAGACGGGGCGTTGTCTTACCTGAACGCCTTTTCTCAGCACGGAGATGGCTAATCCACCAGTGGGTTGAGACTGTATTCCTGCTCAATCAGATCAGTCAGCCAAAGTTGCCACACCCGTCCTGGACCACGAGATTCCCAGTCTTGACACGAGCGAAGCCATTGACTGACAGCAAGACGTTTTGGCTCAAACTATCTGACCCTAAGCCCTCATGGCCTATAAGGGTGGGTATGGATTATCCATCTCCGGGCTGAGAAAAGGCGTTCAGGTAAGGCAACGCCCCTTCTCCAGCACTGGAAATGGATAATCCACCAGTGGGACATACCAAAGCCTACTGTCCCTCAGGGTGGGAAATAGACTGGTCCTGTGTGGAACTTTGGTTTAAAACCTGCTGGAGAACCCTCCTGCCGAAGGAGGCCTCTGCAGAGGAGTATTTGTCGATTTTATAGTGACGAATGAATGGGGAAGGTGATGCCCATGTGGCTGCTCTGCAGACTTCTTCAATTGGAGCTTGCATGGACCATGCTGCCGAAGTGGCCGCACTCCTTGTGGAGTGCGCCGTGACGTGTCTGGGGACCGGCAAGGCCTCCGCCTGGTATGCTCCAGCGATGCATGCTCTGATCCACCTACCCACAGTGGAGGAGGAGACCTTCCGACCCCTAGAGGAGGCGTGAAAGGATATAAAGAGAGCCTCTGAACAGCGGAATTCCGCTGTCCACGCGGTGTAGTACCTTAGGGCCCTGCGGACGTCTAATGTATGCCATTGTCGTTCCAGGCCGTGTGTTGGTTTTGGGCAAAAGTCTGGTAGGACTATTTCCTGTGACCTGTGAAATAGGGAATTGACTTTTGGGATGAATGAAGGGTCTAGTCATAGGACCACCCTGTCCCTGTGGAAGCAACACAGGTCCTTCCTTGTTGAGAGTGAGGCTAGCTCGGAGATACGACGAGCCGACGTAATTGCTATCAAGAATGCTACCTTGTGGGTTAGGTAGCGGATGTCACATGTCTCTAGTGGTTCGAATGGTGCTCTGGTGAGAGCTTGCAGTACCTGCGGTAGGTCCCACAAGGGGTACCTGTGTGCGGTGGGTGGCCTAATGTTCGTGGCCCCTTTGAGGAAGGAGCGAAGTAGGGGATGTTGACCCAGGGGTTCCCCTGAGTTACCCAACATTATTTTTGAGAGGGTGGCAACCTATCTGCGCAGTGTGTTTAGTGCTAAGCCTCTCTCCAGGCCGCTTAGTAGGAATTCCAAAATATTGGGAACCGTGAGTTCTCTGAAAGTCAGGCCCCGTTCAGAGCACCATGATTGGAAGTTTTTTCACGTGGCTTCATAAATACGGTTTGTGGAAGGGCATCTGGAAGCCTGGATGACCCTGATTACTCCCTGGGAACAGAGTCCGTTTGCTAGGATTGACCGCTCAAGTGCCAGGCGGCTAGTTGTAGCCATTGTGGCTCTGGGTGGAAAATTACCCCCTGGCTGAGTGAAATCCTCTCCGGGGGGATCCACCAGGGATCCGTGCGGGAGAGACTTCTCAAGTCTGCGAACCAAGGTCTCCTTGGCCAGTATGGGGCCACCAGAATTATCTCGACTCGTTCCCGGAGTAGTTTGCATATTACGGCCGGAAGGAGAGGTAGTGGGGGGAAAATGTATAGCAGACCCCTTGGCCATGGACTCCGCAATGCGTCTGTCTGTTCCGCTCCCGCGGATGGAAATTGGGAGAAGAAGTGAATCAGCTGGGCATTGGATTGGGATGCGAATAGGTCTACCTGAGGACGACCAAAGTGATGGCAGATCTCCTTGAAGATTCTCGGGTGGAGGCGCCATTCCAAGTGATCCACTGTTGTTCTGCTCAATATGTCTGCCTGGGTGTTTGCTTCCCCTGATATGTGATCAGCCTTGATTGAGACCAAGTTTTGTTCTGCCCAAGTCCCCAGTAGACGGGCCTCGGACCATAGGGAGCGGGAGTGAGTGCCCCCGTCGATTTATGTGGGCCTTCGCTGTCACGTTGTCTGTAAGGATTAGTACGTGTCGGCGTTTTAGCACGCTGTGGAAGTGTCGTAGAGCCAGATGGATGGCTCGGAGTTCGAGCCAGTTTATGTTGTGTCGGAGATCCACTGCGGACCAGCGGCCCTGTGTCCACTTGGTCCCGAGGTGTGCTCCCCAACCGAACAGGCTTGCGTCGGTCGTGAGTACTAGTCTGTCCGGCTCCCTGAAGTGGGAGCCTCTGAGTAAGGCTGGTGATAGCCACCACGTGAGGGAACGTCGTGCCCCTTGTGGCAGTCCTACCCTTTTCTGAGATGCACTGAGTTCCTGCCTCTGGAACGGAAGCATGAACCACTGCAGTTCCCGCGAGTGCAGCCTTGCCCATGGAACGATTGCTATGGTCGATATCATTTTCCCTAATAGTTGGGAGAGGCTGACCAGCGTTGCTGATTGTCGTCGGCGCAGCTGGGTTATTGCCTCCTTTATGCTGTTTTGGTGTTCCTGGGAGAGGTACACCTTGCACTCTACTGTGTCTATTATGGCCCCGAGGTGAAGCAGTCTCATTGAGGGGACCAGGTGGCTCTTGAGGAAATTCACCGAGAAACCGTGTTCCTGGAGCAGATCTACTACTAATTTGAGGTCCGCCTGGGTGGAGTGGATGGATGATGACTGGATTAATATGTCGTCCAGGTAGCACTGGACTCTGACCGGTATTGCCCTTAGCTGAGCTGCCAGGACCGCTAGAATCTTGGTGAACACCCTGGGAGCCGAGGATAGGCCGAATGGGAGCGCCCTGTATTGGAAGTGGCGTCCCCTGTACGCGAACCGTAGGAACCGGCGGTGGGCCAGAGAGATGGGAATATGTAGATACGCCTCCGTGAGATCGATAGATGTCAGGAGGTCTCCTTTTCTTACGCTTCCTAGTATGGAGCATAGTGTTTGCATCTTGAATTTGCGATATGCCAGATGGAAATTTAGGGAAGGACTGATGGGGAGTCATCTGAAGCGGCGGAAGGGGTGGTTATTCCCCCGAAAGGGCCGCTTTCCCTTTCCCTGTGCTTGTTGCCTAGATCTTGGGTTTTGTCTTTCTGGTTGTCTTTCCTGCCTATCCTGTCTGGCCTGAAATGGCTGCGAAGGCTGTGAGTAGACAAATCTGGTTTCTAAACGAAAGGACTGCTTCCTTCCGTAGTGACCTGGGCGCCTCTCCTGTCTTTTGAGAATGTGATTAAGGACCTTGCGTTTGTCCTTATTCTCTGTTAGATAAGGCGTTAGTGCCTCGCCATACAGTTTGGTCCCTTGATATGGGGCAGATGCTAGTTTCCATTTGGATTTAGCATCGGCTTGCCAGTGTTTTAACCAAAGCAGCCGTCTGCCCGTGATATTTGATGCTATGGCTCTGGCTGAGAATCTGGCCGCCTGGAGTGTTGCATCTGACACATATTCTGTGGCTGCTACCATTTTGCTGAGTTCCTGATGGGTATGGATGTCCTCTGCTGGTACTCGGCTTTGTAACTGGCGGAGCCAACAGAGTGTGGCTCTGCTGAAAAAGGAAGCGGAGGTAGCGGCTCTGGTAGCCCAAGCTGCTGCCTGATGAGTTCTCCGGTAGGTGGACTCGCATTTGCGGTCCTCGGCCTTAAGGGCCTCGGAGAAGTCTCCTGATATGGCAGTGGCCGATACGAGGGGCCCTAAGGGCTCGTCCACCGTTGGAACCTCCAGAGCCTCCTCTAGTTCCTTGGCCATGCTGTATAGCCTCTTGTCAGTGTTCCCCGGAAGAGGTAAAGCAGCTGGCGAGATCCATTGCTTCCGGATCGCGTTAAGAAACAGGACCGGACAAGGAATGCGGTGTTGTGTGGTTACCTTTTCGGCGAACCTGAGATCGGCCTCCGCGTCAGGAAGGGTGGGCTCTGCTGGGGTTCCCTGTCCGAGATGAGCCGTGGATTCGGCCTTATGCAGTAGGGTGACAAAAAGAGAAGGATTAAAGAGACCGTTGAAGGAGGGCGTCTCAGGTGGTCTGTCCTCGTCTTCGGACATCTGGACCTCCTGTGTTGCGCCTGGTTGGTCAAGATAGGAGTCCTCGGAAAGGGATGACACAGAAGGGGAGGAGGGACCTTGCTGAGTCTCCATTTCCTCCTGATGGCTGGTTTGTGCCTCGACACTGCCGGCCTGGGACCCTGGCCCCTGGCTTCTAGAGCTCGGTCTACCGCTTGCGCTATCAAAACCGCTAGTCGGTCCTCTGATGGAATTAGATGGGCCAGGTTCGTTTGTGTCCCCGTTGCTGCGGGTATGAATGTGGTCTCGGGAATTCCCTGTGGCCTCTGTGGCGATGAGGATTGGAATAGGGAGGAGAACTCCCCTGTTCCGCCTCGTGTGGGGGGCTGTGATGACTCCCCCGTTGACCAGACTCCCAGTGGGGATGATGGAGCCCCCAGTGGTAATTCATGAACTAGTTCCCCGTTCTGATTCTTCTCAAGTCTGGCTCTTTTCTGAGCCCTGGCAAATTCTTTTTCTAGGGCTTGGTGCCTCCTGCTTGCCTGCTTGTCTGCCTTCCTGGAAGCCTTTTTTGGTAGACCTGGCCTTAGAGACCGTTTGTTGTCAGAACCCTCTGAACCGGGTGCTCCTGACGTGGAAGGCAGGGCTCCTGTAGAGGGGATGATCGCCTCCTCCATTCTCCAGTAGCGCAGGGCCACAATAGGGGGACCCCGGTACTAGGAGAGTAAATACACTGGGTAAGGACAGGCGCACTACAGGGGGCGTCTGGAATCCAGGTACAGCCTGTGTGTCTAAGTTCGAATCAACGGCTGTGCACGGGTAAGGACAGGCACACTAATGGGGATGCCTGGAATCCGGCCCAGTCTGCTATGGATAAGGACAGGCACACGATTTGGGGGGTGCCTGGAATCCACGCTATAGTAATCCGGATGCGTATAGGTCCACAATGGGGGTCCTTGGAATCTGGATGGAGCCAGTTAATTAATTAACTAATTAATTTGTTAGTTATTAATTAATTGAGCGTTAATTAATCAGAGGCGGGGAGGCGCCAAGTCCTGGAAAGTGAAGTTGCTATTATGCTACTATCCTGTTTCCTGAAGGAATTTTTTTCCCCCCTAGGAATTTATTGATGTGAGTACTTTCCCGATCCTCCCTATAATGGCCGCACTGAGTTTCCTTTTAATCTGCGGCCGGTAGGGGCTACGATAATCACGTGTGCACAACGATGACCCCTGTGCACGCGTCTGGGGAAGAACGGCCTGGCTTGCAATGGGCCTCTCCGGGGCAGATTGGAGGGCTGGAGGAAGCGATGGGGCCGCTTACAAAGCCCTCCCGAAGGCCACTCTCGCCCTTGGCTCCCTTGCCTCGACTTTCACTTAGGAGGCTGCTGCGCATGTGCAGTGCTCGTGCATGCGCAGAAGCTTCTCCTGGCCTATTCCACGTGCGTCCAGACAAAGGGGCCGTGCTGCGCTGTGCAGCTTAGGTAATGGCGTCTGCTCAGCGTTTGGGAGCTCCCCGGTGAGGAGAGACAATGGCTCTCCTGGTTCCCAAGCCTATCAGCTGCTCTGTGCTAGCTCGTCCGGCTCCTGGCGTGACTCCCTCCCCACATGCACACCGTCTCTTTTCTAACTTCTACCGACGGAGCTGCAGCTGCAAGCTCCATTCGCGTGAAACCGCCTCCCAGCTGAACAGTTAGACCGGTAGGGAGAGTGAGGGGTGGGGAAGGCAAGGGGATGGGAGAAAGAAGTTCTCCCTTCTCTACGAAGGGTAATATCCCCGGGGTAATCTCCCCCCCCGTGGGGATATTAAATTTAAGTTTCTTTGAAATTTAAAAAATTTCGTGGTAGTTCAATTAAACTAAGCCTAATTTTCTACCAACTTTCAGCTACTGGAAGATAATCCACCAGAAAAAGGAGAGACTGTACCTGCCTAAGAGCCAAAGTTGTACGTCTGGTCACTGGGCGAGATCAGTCAAGACTGGGAATCTCGTGGTCCAGGACGGGTGTGGCAACTATGGCTGATTGATCTGATTGGGCAGGAATACAGTCTCAACCCACTGGTGGATTATCCATCTCCAGTGCTGGAGAACTCTCACATCCTGGACACAAACTATTTCAACTTCTTCCCTCAAGACGACACTATAGGGCATTACACACCAGAACAACTAGGCACAAGGACCGTTTTTTCCCCATGCCGTCACTCTGCTTAACAACTAATTCCCACAACACTGTCAAAATACTTAGTAAAGCTGCATTAGTATGATATTCCTCATCTTTCCTATTACCTATCCTTATCTTCTTATGACTATAACTTTGCTGCTTGTATCTTATAACTTATATTGATTTTTTTTGTATCCTAGTATGATTTATATTGTTTGCTTAGCTAGTACTCGATGACTATCACTAAGTATTGCATCTTTTGATTTATGATGAAGTGTTGTATTTCACGATTTATGATGAATGTATTTTCATGTTATATATGATCATGATTATCACTATTACTTGTATGTACACCGTGAGCTTATGCACCGGAAACAAATTCCTTGTGTGTCCAACCATACTTGGCCAATAAAGTATTCTATTCTATTCTATTCTATTCTATTCTATTCTATTCTATTCTATTCTATTCATATGCTACTCCACTACTACAAATCACAACCTGTCACATCCTCACTGAACCTGCTTTTTGGAAGGTGGAAGATAGAACTTTCAATTCTGGATTTATGATAAAGTTCCCATATAAATGCCATTCTGCAGAAAAAAAGATAGGGTAGGTTCCTTGCCCAAATATGCGTTACATTTAGAACTTCTTTGTCACAAAAGGTTCATGAATATGTCCAAACAGCTTAAACTGGATTTAGCAAACACATTACGCATCTTAGATGTAACTTCCCCAATTTGTTGCCCTCCCTCAGCCAGTCTCTATGGAAGCTGAAAATCCTGGAAACCACAGTCTAAAGATGCCCAGAGGATATAAAATTGGGGTAAAAAGCTCTCAGTGAATCAAAGTCTAAATCAGACATTATGTTCCAGTTTGTTGACCGTGACAATGACCAGACTAGTTGGTGCAAAAGGAACATCGGACTGTATAGTCTAGTGCAGTCACAGTCCAAGCAAATCCTTTTCGTCCTGAGTAAGAGGGGCTTTATTGGGGGGGAGGGGAAAAGGCTTGCTTTCCTACCCAGCACATCCACCCTGCGTTGGGGGATGCTGTTCACGCAGCTCCTGATAGAGTCCTCACTGGTCACGTCCAGTTCTTTGATTTCAAGCATCTTATCCAGAGCTGGCCCTGCTTGCTGCTTCAGGGCTTCACTTTTCTCCAAATTTCTCATGGTAGCAAAAACTAAAGAAAAAGAATGTAGACCAGGAGTTATAAGGCATCACTCTGGCCAAGTTAGGGAGGGCTTCCTTTCCTTCTTTGAGTAGGATGTGCTTCTTAGCACCCTTGCTGGGCTCCAGTTAGCCTTACCTCGAAATCGCTTCAGTTCATCTCTTGCTAGGCGCACTGCCAGGGCCAGCCCAATGCCGGAGGAGCAGCCGGTCACCAGCACGTTCCGCACGGCCATCTTGTTGCCTGTGGGAGGAAAGCAAAAGAATAGGAGAAAAGTCTCAAGAATGGTACAAAGAACCAAGGCTAGCGATACGACTGGAAGTCCTTTGCACTGACGAAGTCTGATCATCCCTCTGATCCCCCAAGTCCCCACCTCAAACATCACCTGTGCAAAGAATTTCAAGGCTCTTTCGGCCTTCTTCCCATCTAAAAAAATTGGCCATAATAATAATAATGATCTACTTTGCAGAATTAATGAAAAGATGACTGAGTTAGTCTAAAGTTCTTTGAGCATTCAGAAAGTAGGTACAATTTTTAGTGTTCACAATGACTGCAAAGTAGTTTTTATCAGCTATAGTATTTCCACAACTGAATCATTTTGTCAACTAAAATGAAGCCATTTTGGGGCTTAGCCCTGATTGAGGAAGACAGAAAGGAGCCTGTCACTTCTGGATGTTACTAAGACCATTCCTGGTTGCTCCCCGCATTGTCTTGCTGGCTGGAGTTGCTGGGTTGAAATATGGAAAAAAATTAGAAGGTTGTTCTGTTGCCCGAGCCACTTATTTCTCCTCACAGTTTCACTGGCACTAAAGAGTAACATGATTATACATCTTTGCACTATCAAATGTAGGACTATGGAATATAAAAGAAACTGTAGCATAAAATGCCATACTGTCCATAGCTGTTGTGCTTCAGGAACAAGTATTCAAAAGACTTCCCTGTGCATGACCAGGCACAAAGAGTTTACCTGTAAGAAAGGAAGTGTTAATCATTTATTTAATAGATTTATATGCCTGCCCATCATGTATACCATAACTTTGGCTAACTCACAAAATAACAATAAAAACTGTAATAACAACTCCCAGAATGTCGAAGGCAACATCCCTCCCACTGCCAGAATGGGATGACTCGACACCACTAGATTAACATGGCTAGCCTTCTCAGACACGGCCAACTCGCTGCCGCCATCTTTCTGCAGGATAGCTCAACACTGGAAATTCTCTGCAGGGATAACTCACTGTGGGCGCTGGATGGAGAACCGTGGGCAAGCAAGCAAGCAGGCTGTCAGAGGGCGGCAATGGGCGGAAAGTGGAGTTGGAGGCAACAGCACAGAGGCAACAGTGGGAGGTGGAGTGTTAAAATGGGAAGTCCCCACCACCCTGCAACTTTTTTTTTTAAAAAAAATTGCTTAATGTTTGAGGCTGTCTTGCTCTGAAAATAAGGGCAGCTTTGGGAAGCAATGAGGTGGGATGTCAGTTTTTTTTAAAACTGAAAAGATTTGTTTTGAGTTGCATTTCAATTCTTGTCCATCAAGCAGATCGCAAAGTTTGCAGCCTCATTTAGCTGTAGGGTCTGGTGAACCACAGAAATGGGGTTGTGTGGACATTGCGTGGAGACCAAACTGGAAAAAAACCCCCTCTTCTCAGCATTACTCTTTTCGCAGCATCGGAGTTGGCTTTGGGTGTAATATTGCTGCAACTCTTCATCCAAACACACACTGCACTTGACCAGAAACACCATGAAATCACCCACCTGGATTTGGGGAAAAGCACTCTGTATGTGACAGAAACACCAGGGAAGCACTCTGCACATGACCAGAAACACAATTAAATCATCCATCCAGTTCTGAGGGGTATATTGCTGCAACATTCCGTACAAACAGAAGTGTCTCTGGTCATGTGCAGAGTGCTTTTCCCCAAAGCCGGGAAACTTTGCAATCTGCTTGACGGGCAAGGATTTGAATGCAACTCAAAACAAGCCTTTTCAGTTTTAAAAAAGCTGACATCCCACCCCATTGCTTCCCAAAGCTTCCCTTATTTCCAGAGCAAGACACCCTCAAACATTAAGCTATGTGGCTTTAAAGGAAAGTTGCAGGGTGGCGGGGCCTTCCCATTTTGATATCTCACCCTGCCCCATGCTGTTGCCTCTGCACTGTTGTCTCTAACTCCACTCTCCACCCATCGCCGCCCCCCTCTGACAGCCCACTTGCTCACCTGCTTGGTGCTTGTCCCTGCAGCAAATTTCCAGTGTTCATATGTCCTGCAAAGAGATGGCAGCAATGAGCTGGCAGAGGGGACTTGGCGGTGGCAAGAAGGCCGTCCCCAATTGGCCGCATCGAGCTAGCGGTGTTGAGTCATCCTAGACCTCCCATTGCACTTTCCTGCACATCTTCATTCAACACCTCTGGCCTCCAACTTTAGCCCAGCAGTTCTCAACTTGTGGGTCGCAACCCCTTTGGGGGTCGAATGACCCTTTCACAGGGGTCACCTAACCTCCTGCAGCTCCGGAGCCTCCTCCACCATTTGGAGAGAGAGAGAGAGGGGGGGGGGGCACTTGCGCTTCCCTTCTCTCTCTCTCTCTCTTTCTCTCTCTCTCATGCAGACTTGCCCCCTCGCAGAGCACCTAATTGGCCCTGCGGCCGGGTGCCCTGCCCCCTGGGAGAAGGGTGGCCCGGAAGGCTCTTTCCCTGGCTGGCCCTGTCCGAGGTGCATGTGGCCAGGGAACCATGCAGAGAAGCCCTGGGATCCCTCTGGGAGTGGCCCGGCAGAGCCTCTGCTGAGTGGGCCAGCCCTCCCACAAGCCGTGGCCCCGGTTGGCCAAGCAGCAGCAGAGCCGGAGCCAGAGGGTGAATGGCAGGGGTAGGGAGGGGGCTTTGAATCTGTGGAGCACCCCCGCGATATGGCCTCGGAGCAGGTAGTGTGGCGCCCCCTGGCTTATCTGCACCAGGCGGAGGGGCAGACAAGCCGGCTACGTGTCTCCCCCGGCCAGGCAGCAGTCCCGGCTGGGGCAGCGGCCGGCAGGGGCATTGGTTCCTGGGCCGTCCCTGGGCTGCTGAACCAGTCATATGTCTCCCGGGCTGGGCAGCAGTCCTGGCTGGGGTGTCGGCATTGCTTCGGTCCCGGCGGGGGCGGCAGCTGGTGGGGGCGGCGGCTGGCAGGGACATTGGTTCCTGGGCCGTTCTCGGGCTGCTGAGCCGGCCACATGTCTACCTGGGCTGGGCGGCAGTCCCGGCTGGGGCAGCGGCATCGCTTCGGTCCCGGTGGGGGTGGCGGCGTCCTGGTCGTTGATGCCCCGGGTGCCTTTCAGCGCCTTCTGCTGCCTCCTGCCCCCCCACGCTTGGGCTTCCTGGGACCTCTGCCCATTTTCCCATGCCCGGAGCAGGAGAGGAAGTGCTGCTTTCCAGGCATGGGAAGGGGCTTCCCCTTCCCAGCCCCCCATCCACCAGGGCGGGGGCATTCCTCTGGACCGGGACTGGGGTTGTGTAAATTGCAGCACACCTCCTTTCCCGCTGCCCAGCCTGGCCCGGCTTGCCCTCCTGCAGCAGGCAGAGCTCGGCAGGATTTGGCCCTGGAAAGGCCTGGCCAGCTGGCCGTCTGGGAAGGCTGAGCAGCCCTGGTGAGGGACCTGTTCTCGCCCCGTGGCCAGCTGGCCAGGAATCTTGTCCAGCTCAGGGGCCGCCTGACCGCCGTGGAGATGTCCACATCAGCCACTGCCTGGCGGGCCTGCTAATTGTGGGCTCCCGGCCAGCTTCCTCTGTGAGTCAGGCGCCCGGGAGGGCCCGACCGAGCCCGGGGCTGACTTGCGCGGTTCCGAAATGTCACTTGCCTGAATTCTTTCTGCCTCCTGGGGGGAAGGTGCGCCTCATGGCCCAATTATTATGGACGTTATTCCAGCGTGGTCACTTAATTTGGATACTTCTGTTGTTTTTATTGATTTTGCTGTCATTACTCTTTTAAAAAGTTTTTAGTATTTTTAATTGTAATACATCTTTGAACTCTAACCTGCCCAGAGTCACTGAAAGGGGAAACCAGATACATTGAGGGGAGAGGAGAGGAGAGAGAGAGAGAGAGAGAGAAAGAGAGAGAAGAAAGAAAGAGAGAAAGAGAGAGGGGGGAGAGAAAAGAGAGAGAAAGAGGAAAGAGAGGAAGAGGAGAAAGGAAAGAGGAAAGAGACAGAGAGGAAAGAAAGGGAAAGAGGGAGAAGAAAAATAGAAAGAGAAGAAAGAGAAAGAGGAAAGAGAGGGAGAGGAAAGAGAAAGAGAAAGAGGAGAGGAAAGAGAGAGGAAAGATAGAAAGAGAGGGAAGAGAAAAAGAGAGGGAGAGGAAAGAGAGAGAGGGAGAGGAGAGAGGGAGAGGAAAGAGAGAAAGAGAGAGAGAGAGGAAAGCATAATAACTATGCTTTAATTATGTTCAATTCGTAACAATGAAAATACATCCTGCATATCAGATATTTCCATTATGATTCATAACAGTAGCAAAATTACAGTTATGAAGTAGCAACGAAAATAATTTTATGGTTGGGGGTCACCACAACATGAGGAACTGTATTAAAGGGTCACGGCATTAGGAAGGTTGAGAACCATTGCTCTAGCCAGTTCTTTAAGGTCTTCCAGAAGATAGGAGCACAGAGATGAATTTAGTGAAACACAGCCTAGGAAAATTGGAAAACATGAGTAGATTGCCCCACCTTGACCCTGGTAAACAAACAAACAAAAAGGCAGGAAAATTGCCAAACTTCCAAGAATCTGAGATTTTAGCTTAGATCGATAAAGGTCTAACATTTCATCTGATGTCTGTTTCTTTTTTTCCTTTTAAAAATAATTTATTAAAGACTAGAAGACCTCTGTGGTCCCTTACAGCCATATGATTATATATTCTAATAACAAATACATTCAAAGAAAAACACAGTGAACGTGAAAAAGGAAATGGAGAAAGAAAAAAGGAGATAGAAAAAAAGAAAATTAAAAAAAAAAAACAAAAAATGGAAAAATAATTGAGAAAGTGGCTTCCAATCTTCCTCTCAATAGTTATACATACAATTTTAATCTCTCTTTAAGATTGCATCATAATTCCCTTCTTTCTATAACCTATTCTTTCTCATCATAAATCACAAAGTCATTTTTTACACAAAAAACCCGTAAGAATTAGAGTGGTGGAGTATAAAGGCACAATCTGAGATTTGGATGGCATGGATAATAAATTTAAATGTGGCTATTAAAAATATTTTATTAGATGTGCCACGTT